AATTAAAATTGAAAAGCACAGAATCATAGAATGGTTTGGGTTTGGAGGGACCATAAAGATCACCCAGTTCCAACCCTCTGCCATGGGCAGGGACACCTTCACTAGACCAGGCTGCTCAAAGCCCCACCCAGCCTGGCCTTGAACACTTTCAGGGTTGGGTTGTCCACCACAGCTTCTCTGGGCAGCTGTTCCACTGCCACACCACCCTCACAGGAAGGAATTTGATGCTAATATCTAATCTGAGCCTACCTTTCAAATCCCATTGCTCTAAGCATGCTGGCTCCTGGCTCTTTTGAGACTACTGTGTCTACACTCCCATTGTTTGCTGCTGGCCTTGGCTTTAAATTGATTTTTCTCTCTTTTTTAGTGCTATGTACATTCTGCAGGTCTATTGATTTTAATGAGGACTGATTTCATTTTTTGGGATTCCAGAGCACTTACAGCAGGCATTAGAATACCCTGGAATATATTAGACCTAATTTAAATTTAACTGAAATTGTCAGAATAAATGAATAATTGAACAAGGTATGTTTTGTAAAACACCTGGGGGATTTTCTTTCCCTGCTTTTATACCCAGTAATTTGCAGACAGCCCTTATCTGCATTGAGACTCTGGAGTGTCATTATTCTGCTGCAGGTAGTACTGGTGGATAACTGCAAATAGTCATTCTTCTTCCTCCTCTCTCCCAAAAGCCCCAGTGGTCTCCATTTATGAAACAGGAATGGCAGTGGTGGTTTTCTTTCATAAAAGTTCTGATGAAGAGTTAGGCACTCACATACTGAGTAAAGGCACTAAAGACAAGGAAAAGTTGATATTACTTTGCTTTTTGTTGCAGTGCAAAACATACAAGTGTTATGGACTCCAACCTATTTTTTCTATGCTGGAAACTGATCTTTGTTTTAGGAAGAGAAGGAGGATGATAAAGACTTTGTTCCTTCCAGTGCTTTCATTTGATCTTCAGCTCCTGCCTATTACTTTCCAGTTTACCTCTTCAGTAAATTCAACCTATCTCTTCAATGGATTTTTACTGCAGGGTTCTGTCTGAAAATTGACAGGACACTATTTTGCAGACTGATACATAGTTTGGTATTATTTTCTTGCCTAATATTTTTTTATTTTCAAAAATAGATCCAGCTCATTGTATTTTACTATTTTTCTGTCATGAAGAACAAAACAATTTCTGTCCCCTAAAGTTTCAGGTGAGAAACTGTGAGGTCCTGTGAAGGACTCACATGAATAGATGAAATAAGTGAATGTGAAAAGCACACTGACTGTTGGCAAAGAGGTATCTGGTGCAGAGCAAATAAATTGTAAAAAAAGGAATTTTTTTTTCAATCTCACAGCAGATACTGCAATAGTATTTTCACATAACCCAATAGTTGTATGATAGTACTGTGGTAACTTAAGGGGGTGAATTTCTTTGTGTATCTTGATGATCTTAATCCTCTAAAGGTTTTTAATCCCTGTCAAACAGAGATTGTTTGAGAGGATACACTTATTTTGCTTAATAGCTATAGAGTTTAGTCTGTTTGGACACTAAAATAAATCCTGTGTTTTCTTAATTACCATAATTATATACTAATTTTAAAATAATTTTCATGTACTTTGTACATGAATAACACATGCTGAATCAGAGAACCTATTGGATGTATGCAGTTATCTGTCAAGCAGTACTAAATTCTGAGTGTTTGTATTACCATAATATACTGATTGTAATAAGTGGCATTCACTGTGTCATTTCAGTCTGTGCTGAAGGCATTTATAACAGAGTACATTGTTACTGCCAAACAGGGGATTTGAAGATTTAATTTAGTTTAAGTGTATAGTGGCAGCTCCCCAGGTTGCCTCCCAGGTACTGATTCTGAAAAATCCATTACAGACGTAGAGATGATGTGGCAGCCTTTCCCTTGAAGACCTCCTCAGGTTTCTGTAAAGAGAGCCTTAGATTTTATTCATTACTTTTATGAGAGTTATAAAATGTGTCCAAAAAGGCTGAAATCCTGAGGCAGAAACTTTGTTGGAGTGGATTTAGTCTGACAGGTGGGCTGGAGCAGCATCTTGTGGAAGATGGGGACACTCAGAGCAGTGATGGCACCTTATGGGCAAACATTGATTTTTCCTGGGAGCTACACAGCCTGGCATGGTGGCAGCTTCTCTGCAGCTGAAGATGCTAAGCTGGGAACCCTGATGCATCCAGAGCTGTCTGTAAGATCTGCTTGAAGGGAGGAAGTTATCCTTTTCTTTAGACATTCTACATTGCTGCTTTTAAAACACCCTGACTCATTAAAAGAAAAAAGGGAGGGAAAGTGGTTTAGGATGCTTAATTTCCTTCAAAACTGTTCATTTTCAATACAGAATCAAAGGAGTAGTCTGAGAAGGCTTGAATATGGAAATGTTTTTGGGTTTATTTTTCTTCAATGTACTGCAGCTTTTGATATTACAATTTGTAATGCTGAATTTCTTAATAATTTTGACATCCTCAGAAATCAACTATATTAAAAATCTTTCTGTATGTATCCAACTCAATTATTTTGTGTGGCTTTGTATTTGCATGTGTTTATTTGCTTTCTAAGATACAGTATTTGCCTAAAAACTCCAAGGATTCACATGTGCTTTAAATTTTCTTTACATTTTAGAGAATAAGCTAGGATTGCACAACTTTGTCACTGAAGCTGTACTCCCTGCAGGACTTGCAGTACTAGCTGTGTTTGTATAATACCACAATTTAACCTTTTCCTGCCATGTAGGTTTTTTCCCTTGTCAGGAAGAACTTTGAAAGACTGATGTTTTATTACATTAATATACAGGCAGGGCTGCACAGACTTGTATAAAAAATAAGCACATTAAAACCGATGAACATACTAAATATATTTAGTAGTTGTTATAGTCTATGTAAGTGCCCTTTTAAATTTTGGAAAATAAGTTTCTATGCTGTAAGAACTATGAACATCACTGCTCAACACCCAGGCTTTGGTTGCTTGGCATTTGGATTTCCAGATTTTGAAGTTCCCTGGTTTGTTTTCCACAGAAATGAAATATGCTGTTTACTTATGGATAAACAGCAGGCTTCTATTTGAAAATATATAACCTGTGAGTGCAATAAGCAACCAGAAGGAATGATTGGGGCAAAAGGTGCATGCTTGTAGGGATTAGGCATTAGACATCTGCATGCTTTTATGTGATTTCTTATTCTTTGCTTTTTTTGACTGTATAGACAGTACATTATACATTGCTGCTGACAACTGGCAATTTCTGACTTCCCAGTAGAATTGGATTTTAAGAAGATTTAGATATGTGGAGTTAAATTTGGCTTCCTGAAACCTTGTCTGGTGGAAGTAAATAGGAGTTTCATAGTAGATGTCAGCAGGCCAACCCTTGACATTTATTATTTCCCTACCCTTATGCAGAAAAAGAAATGTGTATTGGGAAATCAGAGACTGAGTCATTTTGGTGGCTGAATCAGTGCGCTACTATGTAAGTTTTGACAGGCAGTTGGCAATTTAATTTAGGGTGCCTTAGGACACGAGGACACGTTTTTTGATGTCTCTCCTTCATGAATCTTACCTCCCTGGGAAGCACAGCCTGGCTGGGATCTGTGACAGGAGCTGAGCCTGGGTGAGTCACTGCAGTCTCTAAGGGGTGGGCATTGACCCAGCCTGGCTCAAAGCCACCTGTAGCTGCTGGGTGCCCAGTGCCAGCAGGTTCACTCTGGAGGCCCTGTCGTGCTGCTCCTCCAGCTGGTTGTGTGGGCATGGCCTCCATGGCTGCACTGGGGAGGAGGAGCTCAGGAAAGGGCTGGGAGAACCTCAATGCCTTGTGGGTGAGGGGTAACACCCACCATAGTCATGGTCAGTCATGGGTGGCCGTGTCTTAAATGGCATCTCAGCATATTGCCCCATCACGGGTTGTTGATTTGTAGTAAAAAGCAGAATGTGCTTGGAATAGAGGAATGGGAACTGCTGGTACTCCTGAGGCTAGCACATCTGGGTGTTAGACAACAAGGGGACATAAAGCAAGCTACATATTGACCAGAGAGAAAAAAAGAAGCTTTGACATTCTTGATGGCTATTCCTGTGTGATAGCCTGTTGACTGCAAGGTGTTTGAGGGCTTGAGTATTCAGTATTTCAGTCAGCATAAATTAATAGAAGCTGAAAGGTGCTTTTACAGCATCAACGAAAGTACTCGTGTTTCCTTGGGCATTTATTTAGCTCTCCCTGAGAACATGGGCACAAAGTCTGTGTTCATTTGATTGCTGTGAAAAATGGTAGAAGGCTTCCACTCTCCTCCCTTTTCATTTTGCTCAGTTCAATTTTTTATGAGTTATTGTTTGTGTGGAACAATTGATTCCGTTTAGAAAGAAGTAGAACATTCTGTCAAATGCTCCTGTTGGGTGCAAATTCACATTCCTGCAGAGTGGTGCTAAGGCATTTCAAAGCAATCATTTTTTGGTTAAGACAAAATTAATGCCATGGAGAGGGTTTTGTGCATCTCAGTGGCACTGAAATAAGACTGCAAAACCTAAAACCAAGAGGATGTGAGTGTCACTTGCAGCATGTTGGATGCCATAGATTAGTTCTGTATGACCTTTAAAAGGACTGAAAATCTATTTGATTTCGAGCTGTCTTTCCCTAGACAATATACAGACTGCTAAAATCCAAAAAAGAGCATAAAGCAATGGATGAACATGAAGGGCAGATTAATTTTAATTAAAAATGCAAACCCCATTTCTAGCTGAATGTGATTGACAGTTGAAAATATAAGCAGCCAAAAAAATGGCAGTTCATCTCTTGATGTCCTCCAGTCAAAACTTTAGTCAGGTGCAAGTTATGCTTTGGTTATGCCTGATTTCCCAGGGTGATTGTATGTCAGTCTTTAACTGCATTATGCAAGAGGTCATACTTGATATTTGTTATCATCTTTTTCAAATTGAATCAGAAACTATAACACGGGCCAAATTGAAATAAACAGTGTTCTTATTTGTTTCTCCCTCCCTTCACAGGTACTACAGTGCTACCATTTTGCAGATGTCAGGAGTGGAAGATGACAGGCTTGCAATCTGGCTGGCTGCACTCACAGCATTTATAAACTTTATTTTTACTCTTGTGGGAGTCTGGCTTGTTGAAAGAATGGGTCGCCGGAAACTCACACTTGGTAGCTTAACAGGTGAGTGTTTCATTAGCGTATTATATTTTCCTCATAATTATTAATTAAAGGAAAATAAAATTTCAAGTGCAGTTTTTTTCAAAGTACTCAACTTTAAAATTACAATGTTGATGCCATCTTCTCTCTGAAATCTTACATGTTTTCAAGCCTGTTAGTAAAATGCCACAGCTAGAGGCTAATTTAAAAGTGACAGCCAGTTATGTTTTTCAGATGACTTTCTCCTTGAAGTCATGTTTTACAATGTTTTCATTTAGCCTTTTTTTCCAGTTTAAGGAATCAAATGCCTGGAACATCAAAGCTGGTTAGTGTTTAAATCTCATATATAATTTTGGGCTTCTTAACTGGAATTCAGAACCATCTGATGAAGGTGTGCCAGAGAAAGCATATTGCATAGCCATTGCAGCACTTTGTAAAGAGTAATGCAGTTCTCTGCAGAGTTACCTCAGAGACAGTGCAGTAAATAGCTTACATACATTAATGTGATTTTAATTCACCTCCAGTATGAGATACACAGACAGAATTGTGATTTTGTATATTAAGTCCAAATACTCAAACACCATAACTCATCACATAGTCTTTTCTTCAAAGCAGAGAAAGGCAGAGCAAGCAGCCTTCCTGTGTTGAGTGTGTCATGTTAGGATGGTAATTCCCTGCTTGTTCCTGCCTTCTGTGCTTGTTTTTGCTGAAGTGATCTGTGACCAAACTTCCCTTTGGCTGAATGTCTGGAAGGTTTAGATGTTTCCAAGAGCAGAGTTTTGTAAAGAGAAACTGTTCCTGCTCCTCTTGAAATAGTGTTCACAAATGTTTAGCTGTAAAGGTTTCATATCTTCATATTTTTTCTTCATATTTTGTTCTGCTGTTGCTGTCAAGGATCCAAATTTCTAGTTAGTGCACCACAGCAGAGAGGGACACCAGCTGCCATGTCACTGGGTGTGCAATTCCCAGCTCTCAGCTGAGTTAATCTACACTTGAGTATTTGAATGTGTTTATATAGGCCGAGCAGCAGCAAAACAGTGACACGAGTTCTTTGGTACACAGTTACTCAAAGCATGTTTCTCACATTTTAAAGATATGAAAAAAAAATCTCAAATTGCTACTTTTAGTCTGTTCCACATCAGTTACATCTCCCTTATATGTCCTTCTGTGCCTGCAGACTGTCTGTTGTCCTGTCTTTCTGTGGTGTGCATCTCTCCAGGGCTTGCACTGACATTTCTGGTTCTTGGGTGCTGCCTCTCCTTTAATGTCTTTTGAAACAGAGGATTGATTGATTGATTGATTGATTTTTTTATTTGACCCCACTAATCTTATAAGTCTGGTCAGCAACCCCCAAGAGTTTATTGCTTATCTGAACCCAGCTGTATAGCTGTGATAACCAACATGGACTTTTCATATTACCGGAGCTCTTTGCTTTTTGGCTCTGCTTAACATGTTCAAAGGTTGTACATCTGAAATGTAGATATAAGTGTCTCTTACAAAGCATGTTAGTCATGGATCAGAAGAGGATATAGCAATAAGACACAGAATTAACAATGGAGCATAATGCATTTAAAGAGTTATTTGTTAATGCTGTTTGGACACAAAGTAATTGTTTAGTAAAAATGGTCTTTTTCTGTGGCTGGTTGCTGGCTGCCTGTCTGCAGCATCACTTGAGCCAAGCTCTAATGCTTGCTGTGGTTTTATCCTACAGTCCCTCCTTAAGGATAATACAAATAATGACAGCCATGAAATCATACGTCATCCCTCTGTGCTAGTTAGAATTTTGTCATGCAACATTTGATTTAGGTAGTGGTGGATATGATATGTTTTCCTTAGCAAGAGGGCTGTGCAATAGAATGATAATTACTAAATATACTGATGGATTTGTTTTCCATGTTGAGTTTTCTCATGGGGTAAACATATCTTACAGCTCTACTTTGGTTTGCATTTCTAAGGACATTACAATTTACACTGAGTTATTACTGGCAGCTTCTCTGGTCTTTGGGGAAGCCAGGTATGCCCCAGTCTCCCACTGCATAAAATGAAGACAAAACTACTGCTCTTGCCTGCTGCTGCAAGGATGTGGGGCTTTTTTTTTTAATAAAACCTTATTGATTAGATGTTTATTAGATAAAAACCTACAAGTATAATCAGAGAGTAACATTAATGTTTTGATTAAAAGCCAATATACTGTAATTTAATTTTGTAATCTTATGCAACTTTTCCTGTTTTCTGAAAACATTTGGCAGAGATGTTTTAGATTTCATTATGTCTTTATCATTCTCAAAATATTAGAAACTTTTGAAAAATTGAACCTTCCAGATAACATTATGAAAAATTATACTAAATTTCTGAAAAAAACCCCGCTGTTTTAGTTCTCTTTACTACAATTACTGATTTGTCTCAGTTTCCTGTCCATTTTATATCTTTCCTTATCTTGTCTGTACAATTTCTTTATTTTTCTTCTGCTTTTTTCTTTAGTTAATGTCTTTATTCAAAGCTGTTAGTTGGAAAGCATGCAGGAACCCTGACAAGTATATTATTAATTTTATTTGTGTTTTCTTCCTTCCCTTCAGAAATTGTCAATTTGAAAGGTACTTGAGCATTGTACAATTTGTATCTCTTTTTGTAACAGAGGGGGTCTAAAATATCTTCAGGATATTTTCTTTTTCCCACCTGAGCTAATGATGTTCTGTGAGTGTTTGATTTTGTTCATCATAGAAAAACATCCACAGAATGAAAACATCTTCAATTTCCTTTGCCAAGTTTACATATTCAGTACTTTTCCAAAGAAACAAGATACTTACAAAGATACTGGAAGTGAGTGTTAGTGTATTTGGTTGACTTACAACACAGAGCATATTTAGAGCAAATATAAGTAAGATTATAGACCCTTTCTTAATATATCTGCTGTCTGGTTTATGGCATTTTGAAAGTACAGGACATCTAGTGCAATATCCAGCCTGCCCTGAAAACTGGGATTATTAGTGCACCTACGAGCCATAGCTAGAAAAGAGCCAAGAATGGAATATCTCATGGTGGGAAGGTGCTTTCTGCACATACAGTTTAAGCTCTTAGTTGTCTCAGTTCAGGTCAATGTCTGTTCCAGCCATTCCTGCCTGTTGGCTGTGGCTGCTTGCACAGGCATATCCACAGATAACATTATTATATAAATGTTCTAAATGTTCAGATGTTATTTTTATCTCTGAGAAAGGTTTTCACATACTTGGGTGCGTTTTTCACATACTTTTTTCACATACTTCTGGTATGTTTGCCAACTAGGAAACCTTTCTGCAACACAGATCTCAATGTGTCATCAAGTAGCAAGAGTTGAAGTTTTAAAAGTCTGAGTTTGAGGCAGCTGCAGTAGTATCATGAGTAGTGAGGTTTATCAGTTTTCATTAAAATGATGCAGTACATTTTGTTTGTGGCAAATAATATGAGTTGTGTTCCAGTAATGGCCTGTTGCATAAAATGTGAACAGTTTTTGTCATCTTCCTCTTGCCATTTTGTCCAACTTGTACACAAGGTATTTGTTGGGGGAAATGGAAGCAAAAAGATGGAAAGGGATTTTTTCCCAGCAGATGTTATGTGTGCTCTTTGAAACAAGATATGTTGCACTTTTTGATGGTGTTCTTATGAAAAGTCAAATTTCTCTAGTTTCACAAAGGGAACTAGAGTCAATGAAAAAGCTGGTGCTACTTTCTGTTTTACAGAAAAGCCTGCAAGTCTGGGTGTGGGAGTGGAGAAAAGTATGGTCATTTCAAAGCCACTAATAAATTTTACCTTTACAACATTATTTTCAACACCAAAAATAATAATACCTGTTCATTCAAGCAGTCATCAATTCCACAGATTAAAGGAGTCTCAGCCTACTAATTTAGTATCTGGACATGAAAGCTGGTGCATTTGACTTTAATATCCAACCTAATTTAGGATGTGGATGTAGCAAAGGGTATTTTTCTTAGATTCTCATCACAGCTCCTTAGGGAATGCTGTTTGCATAGTGATGGGATGCCTTGCTTTCCCAAGCAGAGTTCATTCAATAGAGAATTATTTCATGTGCTCTGGAGAAAAGTGTCACATTGTTCTTTATCTGTATTTTCAGGTACTGCTGTAGCACTCATTATCCTAGCTTTGGGATTCTTGCTATCAGCTCAGGTCTCGCCAAGAATCACACTTAATCCAACAGATCCTTCACATCAAAACTCTACCTGCACAAAATACAGGTGAGATTTTATGGTCATTCATCCAATCTTCTTGAAGATCGTTTCCAATTAATTTTTACAACCTAGTGTGAGTAACAGACAGTTATTCACAAAGCCTAGTACAAGGAACTAAACTAGACAGCTAAATTTAAAATCCTAAATTCCCTCTGTAGAGAAAATGAGACTTTTTGATTAAATTCTCTGAGTATTCCTTTGGAATTTCTTAGACTAAGTAAGGTGGTTAAGTGGTAAATTCCACATATGCCTCTTCTAATGTATCACACCTGCATCAGAAATATTTTATAAGGAATTTATAAAAATGCTTGCTGTTATTCATCTGCTTGTCATGTATAGCAGCTGTAAACTCTTCAAGAAGATGGATTCCTTGCCAGTTGTTTTCCTGAGCGGGAAGAAATAATGTTCAGATAATTGCATACCAATAAACAATTATTTATAAATGTGCAGGCTTTGATCTGTTTTCCATATGCAGTCATAGTTTCAAATAACATTACTTCTGGGGGTCTAAGAATGTGTTATTTTCTATATTTTGTGTTGTTTATTCACATGTGAGTACTTTTATGTTCATTTAGCTGACAGACTAGAAAATTCCCTATTCAGAGAAATCTAGTTCAATGGCTGAAGAAATTCTTAATTATGTCCAAAATCTTTTTGTAGTAGAAATAAATATCAAGAAATGAGAGGTATACTTCTGGTTTTGTAGCACTATTGGCTAGAAATACATTTCTTGGCTTTTCCTATGCCAGAGCAATGTCTTAGATGAAAGATTGTGAGGATCTGAAGATTTATAGAAAACTTGGGAGGGGATGGAAGGTCCTCATTAAGTGTAAATAGTTACAAATAACCACAACACAGGATACTATCAGATATAATGATTCCTGTATTAAAAATTGTTTTCTACTGCAGAGTCAGCTATAATTTGCAATTTTTGAGATGGGCCTGTCTAAAAAAGCCAAGTAGTCTGGTTAAAAGAGGTGAGGGGGGAAGAAGCTCTCCTTTTGCAATCAGATTACATTAAAAGAAAAATGGGAGAAGGATTTGCCTAGTGCTTCAGTTAACTGTTTGGAAAGGATGTCTGGAGAGAGGAGATGCACCCTTTGTAGAACTCATAATTTGTTATTTAATAAAGCTAGATGGTAAATGTAAGCTGAAACCATGTAAAATTCATGTACAGGAAATATGGCAAGTTCTACTTAAAAAAGTGAAAAAATCTTCAACAGAATTTTCATGTTTGAGTTAACCACAGCCAGTCAGGAAGAAAATTTTCATGGCTTTCAATGTGTGCACTTCTGGGCAAAAGCATGAAAAATTAAAGCAGATATTTCTCATAAAGGCATGTTACTTCATGAATTATTGGAATACTTGTAATCTGTCGTGATTTTTATTTCTGATGTGAAGTGGGGAAAAGCAGATAAGATAAAAATTCAAAGGTTCTGGAAAAACAGCAATAGAATAATTTAAATATTTTTGTTTGAGAGTATTTTGAAATAGAAGGAGCTCTCTTTGTTTAAAGATCAAAGTGAACGGAGGTGGAAATAATGAGCAACATATGGAAAAGCTTTAGGTGCTTCTATTTTAATCTTATGCTATACTTTAGTAGAGAGACACAAAAGCCAGAGCTGAAAATAATAAATGGATGCATTTACCCGCAAAGCACAGAATTAGACTACAGCACTCCGTATTTAAAAGGTTTCTACAAAAAAAGGAGGGATTGATATGCCTATTAATAACTTTCACACTTGTATAGCTAAAACTGTATGAATTTTTATGCACCAAAGCATCACCAAACTATGATCCAGATGGAGCCAAAGGAAGAATTCCTTCCACATTATGAATATTAGTATTAATTATTTCTGAAGGATATGACATACAAGCATATATTTGACTTGGAAAAGTGACTGTGTATGCACAGTGTCAATAAGTGAAATGAAATATTAAATATTGGTTTTGTCACAAGGAAGTAGATGGTGTTTTTGGCATTCCACTTGGGTTAGAAGCATAACATTCATGGTCTTGGAAGGAAGAGGAGATGGGGACTGCAAACCAGACAAAAGCTGAAGGCTGAGCTTTGTGACTCACCTCTCTCTCCTTTTTGGCCTTGGAGGTATTCCCCATGGCACTTATAAAGTTGAATCAAAAAGATTCCCAAACCTGAGGCTTTGGAAGTAAGAGTCTACTTTCTATAACATCAATCTTGCATATTTTCTTTGCTACTTGAAGAGTAATGGCTTTACTGTACAGATGCCCACAGTGTAGGGCAGCAAATATTGCTGTAGAGACAGGTGCAAACAGAATATCCAATCAAAGTAAAGGGAAGTAAATGAATGGCAGTGGTCCCTTGCTCCTTAACCCATATTTTAGCTTGTTCTAGTAAAACTGCTGGTGTCTCAGATTGCTTAGCATCGTGTCTTCAAAGTCTTCAAGAGGTCTCAGAAAGTTTGGGAGAAGCAAAAGGCTGCAGGGCTTCAGAAGATGAACACATAATGCCATCTCCCTGTGCCTGCACAAATGTAACTCATAGTTCTCTTTCTCTTATGGGGACACAGTGCTTCTCTGAGCTGAGCTGAACTTTAAGTGCAAACCTGGTTGCAGCTTGGGCATTTCGGAGTGTGAGGGTGTTTCCTAAAAATAATTTGTGTTTGTCTGTATCAAAAGGTATTTATAAATTATGAAAACATCAGTAGAATTTATTTTGCTGGCAGAAGCTTCACTGGTACTGCACAGAGTAAAAATGCTTTTTATGTTAGCAAATCCATTGTGTTAAAGTGTGGGTGTCCATTAAGGAACCCTTAGAGCTGCTACAAACAATCTGTTTGCTTGTTGTTCCTTCAGATCCATATTCCTCTGCACAGACTAATTCTTGCTGCTAGAATAAAATGAAGATAGAAAGACTAGCAGATAAAGAGCACAGTCCTTGTCCTAACTGAAAAAAGCACATAGGGCTGAGTACTGTGTTCTCAGAGAGCTGTGCCATGCAAATGGAGTTACAAGGCACCTGTACATGATTGCAGAAAACAAACCAGTAAGATATGCTGTGCATAAAATAAATAAAATATTTTCATTTGGTCTGGAGATGTACAATATTGTAGTTGAACAGCCAAAAGATAATTCATTTATCTGTAAAAAAGAATATTGAATCATGGAAATACCTCAAATTCAGCAGGGCACTCCAAACACTGCGATTTGTTTTGCCTCCTTACAGCTGGAAGTGGGTGTTTATCTCACTGAGGAGAGGCAGGGTGAGTGCTCCTCTCTGCACCATCCATTAATCAAATTTCATTTTCACACTCAGCTGTATAAGGTTGTGTAGATATTTGCAGTGTGACCACCTGTTTTATTTGATCTTAATCTCCTCAGCAGCTGTGATTGTACTTATCATCAAGGCCACAGAAATCTGAAAGGTAAATTTAAGAATACAACACAACACCATTCCAGAATTTGTCACCTTAGAAGTGAAAAGATGAACTATCCATTCCTACAATTATTCTGACTACCAAAACTCCATAAACATTCCCATTTTTACTGGGACCTTGTCTAACTCTGGAAGGAGGTTTAGGATAGGGCATGTGTATTAGCTACCCTCCCACCTTTTCCCAATCTTTAAAGAATCTGTGATGGGGTTGTTTGGGACATTAAGCCATTTCTGTAAGATGACTGTGGTCCTGCTGCCCTGTATTCTTGCTTGGTTTATCTCTATTCATGTCTTTCTCTTGCACTTCTTGAAACTCGGTCTGCTCTAGAAGACATAATGCAAACCTGTTCTGCCGAAGCAATATTTTTCCTGTCGGTTACTGTATGAAAATGGTAAATATTGTGTTAAGCTTAGGTCAGCCTTCATATCTTAGGGAAATGATACCTGAGCACACAAAGTTTCTCAGAATCCTTCCTCAACAGATTGTCTTCAGACTGATTAAAATAACACAGGCAGTGCCAGCTGTGCTGGGCACACAAGGACTCTGTTGTTCAGTTTTGAATTAGTCACCCTCATGTGGTTCATGATCCTTTGTACAAATGCGCACCACTGAGACGAAGGCAACAATATTTAGAACTCCAGCATGGCCATTTAATAAGATAGGTAATGGATAGAAATGTATATTTTCTTTATGAATATAGCAGAAGTATATAATTGTGATCAGTCCTGAAAAATTCAGCTAACCTAGTAATTGAAACTGGTTTTATTGTATTTAATAGTCTTAGGATGCATATAGTAGGTGTATTAGGTATTGTACTTTATTTTACTGAGAACTCATTGACAATCTGATGTATCAACAAATTAGACAATTCTGTTTTTCATAATGTCACTCTATCATGGAACCAGTATTTGTTAAAATATGATTCTCATTTTCTCTTTCTAATGTCAAAGTGCCTGAGCTACTGGTTTTCTGATAACTGAGAATTGCAGTAATAAATACAGTAATGTGTTTTGGCCATTGAGGTCAGAAAAATATGAATATAAAAAGAGATAAACATGTCTGAGAATGCTTTTGCCAGCTCTTATGAAGCATAGTTAAAATTCTAATAGTTTATGTTGCAGAACTGTGAAATGACCTCAACATGGTCTTGAAATTTATTAAGTAAATAATACAGTGATGTATTGCTTGGTAATGATTTTCCCTGTGCTGGCATGTTGGTCCTATCAGTCAAAACTTGTAATTTAATTTTAAATTATAAAGGATAGGAAGGAATATGTCAGTTCATGTAGTAAGCATCTTTAAAGTGAGTGAAAAAAACCTTCTCTCATCAATTTAAACACAAAGATCTGAAAAGAAACTTACCTGAACTATAATGTCTGAGTGCAATGCAGTTCCTGTAGCCATTGGTAAGTTTTCCACATGCTTTGACTCAAACTCTGCATTAGTGAGGAAACAAGTTGTTATTCATTTAGTAGCCTTTTAACACTTCACATCTCTGCTAGTACTTTTAAGACTTTGCTGTTTAACAAAACCCAAACTAATGCTTAGGGAATGATTTTTTTTAAATCTTCCAAAGTGATGGTGTTACAC